CCTGTTGTAATAGGACATTATTCCTTGTCAGCATCTGTCACAAGTATCATTACATCAGTCTAAATTTAATTTTAATTGGATACTGATAGTGATGGTTACAGTGTTGAGAGCCAAAAGGTAAAGTGGGTTTGAAATCAGCTGTCGTCATGTAGATGTCCTTTGAGGTTTTTCCAGGAGGGTTTTTTTAAAAAAATTAACCAGATTATGAGATTTTGAAAATCACCTCATGCAAATGTGTAGTAGATTTTTCATGTCTGTTTTTAATAAAATTGTAATGTACTCAGTTAATGAAAAACGCATTCATAATACATGTGAAGACTTTATTCTCTTTTACTTTCTCCCATACCCTACCCTAAGGGAGGAGAAGTGAGGAAGTTGTAGGAAATAGGTCCATGGAGAGGTAAGACTTTGAATTTTTCAGCTCTTTTCCTGAAGTAGTACACAGCTGCCTTATTTCTTGTTTAAGGACTATACTGAAACTTCAGATCTTTCATGGTAGTCATTTAATGTTTTAGAAAGCCCAAAGGTAAGGTCAGTCTGATTATGTTCCTAAGTCCATTTTAACACAGTCGCTGTCTTTAAAACATTTAAAAATACTTTTCATGTCAAAATCATCAAGTGTAACCCACATACAAGATAAAATGCTGCTTGTGAAAGTCAATAAAGTTCACCCAAAGGATTTAACTTAGGTGCCTCTTAATAGGTGAAAACATGAAAAGAGACAAAGGTTTTAATCTCTCTCTTTTTTACTTCATGTTTTCCTGTTTTTGTGAGTGTAACCAGGGTAGTTAATGTTTTTGCAATTATACCTAGCAGTTGGAGGTGTACTTGACTGAAGTGACCCAAATCTTATATAAACAATTCTGATAATTATCCTGCACTTTGAAAATAAGACCTGAACTGTAATTATTTATGGGAGGGATATTGCAAGAAATGTTCTGTGTTAGAATAAGGCAGATCCTTAGCATGGTTTTAATGTCCATGCTGAGCACTATGTCTTTTAAGATGCTAATGTAGGTATGCCTATTAATATGTATGAAGGACATAAATGCTTAACAGAAGACAGACAAGGTAAGTACACTTTTTGCAGTAATCAAGCATTTACTTTCAGCTAGTCCTTCACCCAGGAGGAGTCCACTTCAGCAATATAGTAAGTGTTATTTAGGTTCCTCTGTAGTTCTGAGGATGCCCCTGACTCTACAAAGACTCCAAAGGGATCAGTTGATATGCTGCATCTATAAAAACAATTTAAGTAGCTCTAAGTAAGTTACGTTAATGAAGCTTCAAAGGGACTGCAAATTCAGAAGTCCTCTAAAGTCCAGTGCTGGCCCAGCAATTCAGAAGCTCCTTAACAAGACATTTAATCATGCTCTTTAATCTCTCTAATTGGTGCTTTTGAGTATAGAAGAATACACGAACTCTGCTGTGTTCTAAGAGCAGTAGAACATCTTTGCTAGCCAATAATACCTAGTGAAAATAGACTTCTTTGACTGCAAGTCTGTAATACTAAATAATGATGCAGAAAAGTTTCATTTCACTGTTACTTGTCAGTGCGGTTTTGCTGCTGAACAGTGCCTGGGTGCAGCTATGCTGGAAATGGATCGGTTCTGCCCTCTGTGACTGTAAGGTCCTGTTTGTAGGCATTGCTAAGAATTCTGTCCATGAGTTAAGGGGTGAAACCTAGGACTAGCCAGAGGAAGTTATCCTGCTGAGAAAACAGCGGGGTTGGTACCATGATTCCTCTCAGGAGTCATCAGACCTCTCCTCACAGAATGGGATTTTACAAACTGATGACCGACAATTTGAACTTAGGTACTAGAACTTAAAAAGCCTAGAGGTTAACTTAAATATATTTAAGCTTAGAATAACAACTTTCTCTCACAACAGTACAGCTCTAATGGATGCTAGTTCTCTCAAAACCATAAAGAACAGCTCCTTGGCTGCAGTAAATCCGTATGGTTTCACTGAAATGCATAAGGCATTTTGGCACCTAAGGAGTTACTCTTCATTTAGCATTTAATTAAAAAAAAAATCTGTAAGGTTGCTACTTTCTGGTTATAGCTTTTATCCCATTCCCACTTTCAGCTGCTATCTGCATTCTCTCCAGAGTATGACCTCTGTAGTGGTAATGTATGTATGCATTAGGGTGACTCAGGCATACACCATCTCCCATCACTTTTGCCTTCTGTGGAAAAAGGATTGAGACAAACACACATCTCAGTGAGTTCCAGCCTTATATTGTCTCTGATTACTCCTGCACTAAGCTTTTGGCTGAAGTTCTGAAGAACTCCTCTACTTCATTTTTTTCCAGGTAACTTACATGCCTTTGCAATTTTTTATTACCCGTGGCTATTGGTTTTCTAAAGCAGGTTTACAGGGTGTCATTCTTGTGATTTGTGTTAAGAGCTCCAAGACAGTGTGATGGGACACCTGGCTTGTGTTTCAAAAAATTATGTATGCAGTATCATTTCATTTTTCCTTAATATTTATCTCACTGCTGGAGGAAGAAAAAAGGCCACCCACTGAGAGAAGAGAGTGCAAAGCTAATGAATCCACTAGAGGAAGGCTCTGCACTTCTGCGTCTGTCCCATGATAAGCAGAATCCCAGTCATGGAATATCCAAGGAGTTTTGCCCCATACAGTATGTTGTTCATGTATGCTGGCTTTACATATTATTCCCTGTGGCAATAAAAACTTCCCCGTAGCCCTGCTTTTTGCAACTATTTAATCGAAGCCTTTATTTCAGTCATCTCTAGATGGTTAAAGGGAACACACTTATTCCATGACTTAGTTTTGGTGGTGGTTTTATTTTGTTTAGGGGAAGCAAACAGGTCTGTATCTTGTAAGGATATTTTCAGATTAATTAATTTCTTGGTGTAAATGAGTTTTTATTATCATAACTGATATCTGTTACTCCTCTAAATTGTAGGATACAAGTTTAAATTCATCAGAATAAGCAGGAGAATGAAAACTGTCACAGGACTACACTTCAGGTACAAATGTTGCAACCATATTAGCTTTTCACTTGAATTAGATCATACCTAGGTATGTTCATGTAAACGAGCACCCACCATTTCACCCTCAAGATCATTCCTCATTCCTAACTAATATAGTCAAAACTGATCTTATACCTAATAAGCAACTTGGGAGAATGGAGAAGATTTAAAAGTTTAGTCCTTGTAGGGCTCTAAATATTTTAGACATATTCAATTGATTTTCTTCAGGCTTGCGTTTTCTGAGATTTTTTTGTTGTTTTCTTAGCAGGAATTTTGTTGATTTTTTTTTAATCTACTCAAATAAGGAAACAAACTTATTTAGATCTATTTACTAATCTCTTGGGTGTATAAAAAAAATTTATCGTGTTTGCAACCAAATGTGGGGAGGAGGAAGAAGAAGAGAGAGAGATCTTACCAAAATAATTTTTAAATCTTCACAATCGCTTATAGGCTAATGCTTTTTAACAAAGTTATCAAACATAGTGGTATCTGAGTGCCTTGCATGAAGGCTAATTATTCTTCTGGGAACATTCATTTTAGGAAGTCTTTTCTATATTTCTGCATTTCATGAGAATACTCCAGAAGAGTGAAGCATGATACATAAAGAAGAGGCTTCACTGTCTTGAACTGTTCTTGTGGAAGAAATATTATGTGTAGCTTTTCTTGTGTGTAGATAAAGAACAGTCAGATGTGGATATGCCATTTACTTACCCACAGTCCTGTTCCTTTGGGCAAGGAGTTGTAGTGCAGCAGATATTTTGTTCTAAACTCTGCACAGTATTTTTTTAAATGTTTTAACATCAACCTCTCTTTCCTGTAAATTATTCCAAACACCTGTCCCTGTCAGATACTTCAGAAATTATTTTGAAAACTGGATTTTTATTATCCTTCCTTTTCACTCTGACAATTTAATTATCACACGAAAAATTTCAGAAACTGTGTAAGGAAAATCATATGTATAATTTCATATTCAGAAACTTCACAAAATACTTCTTTGTAAAGTGCTTTTTTATTATGCATTGTCAACAGTTACATGATATGTTGCTGTTTCATGCAAGCTGGAATAGTGTTAAGAGAGCAAATGTTAATCCATAAACATGTTAAGGAAAAAAGTGCTAAATCTTCATAAGTTTGCACAGGTTTAAATACAAAACTGGACTCTTGCTTCAGTTAAAATGACTTTGAATTAGTTACTGAAACAACCACTAGTCTGGCCTTTCCCAGGCCTTGTTCCAGTTCTGCCTGGGTTGTTTGTTTTCATCCTGTGTTCAAGTTTACACACCTTTTTTTTCCTGTCATGCAATGTAATGCCATGGTAGCAGCTCTAGAAATATAGCAAAACAGTACTGTTCACCAATCAGTTGTGGTTGCTATTCAATAAGTCCATTTCAAACTAAGTACTGCATGATACTGAAAAAAACATCAGAAAAAACCCAACAAAAAGCCCAACCAAACCCCAAATCTTCTAGTATGAGCTAACACAACAAATGTGCATAATATATCATGGAGCCACTGCTCAGTTACAATGATAACAATACATAAGAAAAAGCTGTGGAGATATTTTTTCTTGTTTTGTGCTCACCAGGTGCTTCACATCTTAATTTGTTACAAATGATAAACAGTAAAATTAAATTATTATGTTTCTGCAGGACAGTCATGTAGTAAAGTATTTCTTGCAGTGTTCAGAAACATAGAAAAGTTGTTTTAATTACAGTCTGAAAAAAGCTATTTTATGCATCTTCATTGCCTTAAATATAAACTAAGTAAATAAAGTCTGAGTAATTGGCAGTATATAATGCAAATTTTCATATGTAATCTCTTGATATTAAATTCTTCAAGAAGGACTATAAAATAACTGGACTGAAGAAATACCTATTTATGACATACTTTATAATGAGTGACGGACGTAGCTGATCACTTAGCTGTTTTATTCATTTTCATCCTAGAATCTATTTCTTTTAATTTGTTCTTCTGCAGTGAACCGTTTGTACTTGCCTTTCTCACCTTGGAATGATGGGACAGCTGTATATCTTGAGCTCAGGAAATCTAAGTTTCTGTTTATGTCATTCCTTGACACCTCAAGTATTTCACTTTCTTGACAGGCATTAATACCATTCAGTTCTGTATCATAATTCCCATGTTCCTTTGAATACAAGCTGCAGGACTTTTTAGTTATGTCTACAGAGTCTATTATACCACGGTCTGAAGCCAAGTTGTCTTTTTTAAGAAAATATGTTTTCAGAGTGTCAGATAAAATAGCATTTAAATTTTTGTCACATTTTGATTCTTCTCCAATGCGTACCAACTCAGTATCAACAGGGTATGTTGTATTAGTTGCTTCCTTCAAAACTAATGTGCGATTAGTACGAGACTTCTGACAAGTGGCATCTTTATTAAATTGAGCCAGACTATTTGAGGTAACAGCATCTTCATCTTTTGAGTTCTGTTCATTCCATAAAACAGTTACAGTATCACTAGAATAGCTCTCATGAGATTCATACATCTCAAATATTTCTTCATTTCCAGGCCGATTTTCCAGCTTTGCAAAGGCATGCTGTGCTACAGTGCAAATTGCATGGCTTAATGCTGTCATTGGCTTAGACGTAGCTGAGAGAGTTGTTTCTTGCCTGCAGATGTTTAGATGTGAAAAAGTGGCATTATTGTTATTGTTGTTGTTATTCAAACTGAAGTCTTTGTGATTCTTTTGTACGGTTACATCATCAATGTTAGTAACCTGTACAAGTTCTGAATCATCAGTTTCGTTAAGTTTTTTCTCTCGCCCCTTACCAGCACTATATGCAATCATATTATCACCTTCATTAATATCCTTTCCGCTTTCCTCCCTGTTCTGTGATCCTCCAGTTTTATTCAGCTTCTCTTGCATGTTCCCAGCTTCCTTATCATTTCCCTTATTGCCTGCTTCATTTTTCTTTACTTTACAGATATTCGTAGCTTCTTTTTCAGACAGAGAGCTAAAGGATGAGTGTTGATTTTGTTGTGCATTTGCGGTGTCATTTTTATTTTGCTCTCTCACAGCATCTTCTTTCTGAGGATCCTTTTTATTGCTCAGAGGTTTATTTCTATGTAAACTAGAACCTTCTTGAGCAAAAACTTCGGGGGGCCACTTTGGCTTATTTACTTTAGCCGTTTCTTCAATAGAAAATCTTTTCTTAGGTGTTGCGTCATCTGTTGAAGGTGGCCATGTCATCCTTAATTTACCTCTTTCTGTGGATTTTTTCAAATTATTGTCCAAAATACCAGGATGAATACCTTCAGTATTCAAGTCTTGATCAATTTCTGTAATTGGTTTAGGATCAACAGATATACTATTAATGGGATTTGTTTCTTCAGCATGAATATTGCCAACTGAGCTATATTGATCTTTAGAATTCCATAATTCTTTATGTTGCTTGTGTCCAAAACCTTCATCATAATTTCCTTTTGATTTGAAAAGTTGCTTAAAATGAGGCTTACAATATATTTTTCCATGGAGAGATGCATAATTTCCCAAGCTGCCAAATGGAAGGAAATTTGTTTTATACTTTTACATATCATAAATCTACCATGAATTTTACACTTTACTTGGTATTTCAAATACCCCTACATAACAGTATATATAAAGAACGAGCAAAAAGAGAGAAAATTCAATGTATTGGACAATTCTAACCACACACGCACACAAAACATATCTAAAACCTTTAACTGCAAATGCCCATCAACTTCAAATTTAAAATGAAGAAGTGTCGTGCCTTGTGATTTAAGAAAGAACACAAACTTATTCAGTTGTTGCACAGCATAAGCTTCAAATAGGAATGTTCCACAGCACTTCAGGGTTGTTGAGACCTTTTTCTTCTTCATATTAAAGACTGAAGCCTCTATTTTTCTACAAAATAGGTGGAGAAAATAGAGCACAAATTTTCTTTAGCCTTTGTGTGAATTACAGAAATTTGTGTTTAGTTGTATCTGGATTCTGCTCATAAATGAGGAAAATGTATGTAACTAACCTCAAAGGTATTAAAATCAGAACTGTTAGCCTTTGCAGTCTGATAGAGCAATAAATACTGCATTTCATATAAAGGTTACAAGAGTGGTTTGCTAATGCAGAGAACCATCATCATTCATTTTATGGATGAGGAGAAGTGAGAGAAAATTTGGTCTGTGTTCAAATATCTTAAATTCCACCTAAGTTTCTGTGTCTACTGCTTCCTGTTCATGAGCTCTCCTGAAGGTCTGGAACAGTCAGAAGAATTTGAAGGGTACTGGGGATGAAGCAGTCCTTTAGAGACTCCAAAGGACTTGTTCCATGTCACAGTGAGGGTATCAGTAGCAGAGAAGAAAAGGGGAGCCCAGGTTACTTCCCTGCCACCCCAACATCTTACGAGCAAAATAGCCCAGTTGGAAATAATTTATACTCAAATGCAGGGTTCTGTGAGTGAGCTTGCAGTTACTTCTTACCTTAATTGACTGCCACAGTGGTGACATCGGAAACATGATTTATGAAAATTCTGCTTGTCGGCAACTAGGCATTCCATTGGGTAAACTCGCTGTTGACAGAGTCTGCATGTTTCATTTTCCTGAATCTGCAGTTTCTAGAACCATATATTAAAAAGTATTGAGTTAGTTTAAGCCACATACTATGATTTATTTTATAAGGTATCTGTCCATATGTTTGGTTAAAACTGTAGTTTTCTTTATCCATTAACTGGTATCTCATTTGTCAAATTTAGGGCTTCATTTTTGTTCAATTAACAGTAATACTTCAAAAGTGAAAAACTATTCACCTTTCCCTTTTCAGAAATCCATACATTTGAAAGGACTATTCACTTCACTACACCAGGTACAATATTTCCCAATAACTCTTTATTTTGTGAAGTGAGATAGGATAATAAAAGGTTTACTAGTACAAGTGGAATTGAGCATATTGTATGTATAATCATTGAATCTACAACATGATTTAGAGATCAATAAACAGGGCAGATGTTTGAAATTCTGGTGAGGAAGTTTTGCTTGATCATGGCAAAAGCACATCAGAGAATGTCACTTCTGTGGTAACCTACAGACTGTACACTCATACGGTCCAGATATGCTATGGACATAATTATGTGTGATCTTTAGTTTTCATTTTCAGACCTAATACTTCCTTCAGTTAGTTTTTAAGACTGAGTTAGCTACAATTATATTAGCTAACTACATACAATCCTTTTTTGTAATGAAGTATAATTACTTATAAAGGAAACAAGTTCTCTGTAAAGTGCAAAGCATGAGTAGAAGGTTTATTTCATACCAGTAAGGGGCAGAAGGAAATAATGAGCAAACTGTTGGGCTTAGAAAAATGCATGCTGCTCTTCTGTCTTGATTTCTGGATTGCTATTAAAACTGTACTAGCAGACAAATACAAATAGGGTGGACCAAATCATTGCTTGTATAAGTATGTCTCCATTAGTAATAGTAATGCCCCTTGACATCAACAGAAAATTTGGCCCCTTTCAGCATTCTGTCTGGTTTTTTGTTTGCCTGCTGGTATTGATTTTATAGCAATTCACAAATCAAGATACAAAGTGATGTAGATTTTATAGCTACAGCTTTAGTTGCCTTGTATCTCTAGTGCCCATAATGAGAGCCATGAAAAATGCTGAAAGCAAATTTAAATATCTTCAAAATAATGTAGAAGTTGCAAGAAGTTGAAAAAAGTTGAAAAAAAAACAAAAAAAACAAACAAAAATTAAAACCAAACAAAAAAAATCCCCCCAAGAATTGTTGGTCATGAAATAGAAAGCCTCAAATGTAGCCTCAGCCTAGTCTCCAAACAGACCAACAAAGAAGCTAGGCAGCGTGGAGGGCAGTGTTTCAGCCGCGCCTCCCGCCTCGCTTGGCATGCACTGCTTGTGGTTGGTGATGTGCGCCAAACATAAGGACTCAGCTTAATATCCATAGGTACGCAAGTATTCTGAATGAAAAGAGAGAGGAGAGGAAAGGCTCAAGCTTTAAGATGCAGAAAGGGATAAGGTAATTGAGAGGGGGGAAAAAGGTGACATGTCTCCTGGAAAACTGCCTTGCTGGATGGTCATACTTCATTTGGTCAGTTGATAGTGAGTGTTGTGCCTCAGAAGGCAACGGTCAAGAGAAGATAAGATAAAAGAGAAGGAAGGAATGTGAGAGAAGTTTATTCCAAAGCAACTTCCAGGACTGAATAGTGGAGCCAGTGTTCATTGTCATGAAGATTAATCCTGAATTGGATGTCAGTGACAGTGTTTTGGTAGGCTGCAGGGGCAGCCTGTGAGGAGGGGCCGGGGCTGCCCGTGCCAGGTGCTCCTCGTTCCAGCTGGCTCCAGTGGACCCACCCCAGGGCACAGCTGAGCCCCTCAGCCATGCTGGTGGTGCCTCTGGGAAGACATACTGAGGGAAAGAAGTGTGAGAAATAGCTGTGAACACCACCACCAAAGTCTGAGAAGAAGGAATGGAGGATGCGCCACAACTGAGATTCTCCTGCAGACTGTCAAGGGCACCAGGGTAGCAGGTATTTCCCTCCAGCCTGTGGAGAGCCCACGCCGGAGCAGGGGAAAAGTTTGAGGAGGAGGAAGCAGCACAGAAGAACTGGTATGTACTGACCCTAACTTCCCATCCCCTCTGTGCTGCTGGGGGCAGAAGAGTCAGGAGTGAAGGAGTAAAGTTAAGCCTGGTAAAAAGGGGGCAGAACGGGAGCTGTTTTAGTGTTTGCCTTTCTCACCATCTAAATCTATTTTAATTGGCAATAAATTAAATTAATTTCCTCCAAGTCAAGTCTATTTTGCCCGTGAAAGTAACTAGTAAGTGATCTCCCTGTCTTTACTTTGTCCTATTTGCTTTTTCATCCTATTTTCTCTCCCTGTCTTGTTGAATAGGGTAAATGAGAGAATGGCTGGGTGCGGGTCTGGCAGGTCAACTCACTATATGTGAACGGCCCTACAAAATCAGTGGGGGAAAGGCTGGTCTACTACTTGAGATCATCAATATTTACCAGATAGGAGAGATCCAAAAGGAAGTCCAGAGGCTTGACCATATAGAGAATTCAGTATTCTATTGGTACTGGGTATTTTTATTCACATTAGCATCCTTGAGTATACTGTGTCTGGGATGCAGTTAATTTTCTTCATAGCAGCTCATATGGTGCTGTGTTTTGGATTTATGACTGAAGTGTTGATAACACAGCAGTGTTTTAGCTGTTGCTGAACAGGGCTTGCACAGCGTGAAGGCCTTTTCTTCCTCCCACTGTGACTCCCCTTCCCGCGCCAAGGAAGTAGGCTGGAGATGTGCAAGAATTTGAGAGAGGACACAACCAAGACAGCTGACCCCAACTGACCAGAGGGATAATCCATACCATATGACATTGTGCACAGCAATAGAAGCTGAAGGGAAAGGGGAGGAAAACGGGACATTCAGAGCTATGGCATTTTTCTCCCCAGATATGTGTCATGCATGCTGAGGCCTTGCTTTCCAGGGAGTGGCTAAATAACTGCCTGCTGATGGAAAGTAGCGAAGCAATTCCTTATTTTGCTTTGCTTGCATCCCAACCTTGCTTCCCCTATTAAACTGTCTCTACCTCCACCCACAAGTTTTCTTGCTTTTCGCTCTTCTGATTCTTTCTCCCGTCCCACTGTGGGGGAGCGAGCGAGCGAGTGAGAAGCTGGGTGTGGACTTAGCTGCTGGCCTGCGCCAACCCACCGCATTCAGCATTTTGCTGGACCGCCGCCAGACTGTGCCTCCTTTTACAGGATCGCAAGCCACTCATGTTTAATTCTGCTCCTAGCATGAACAGAGGTAGCACCCTTTTCTTCTTAGTGCACAATGTTGGGAAACCGAAAGCAGAGCTTTCTATTTAGGAATTATGCAGGTACAGGAGCATTTAGCTTTGTTCTATCGTTTTCATTGCTGTTCAAGCATCAGCAATCTGTTCTTGTATTTCAAGTGGCTAAAGCTATGGTAACATCTGGTTTTCCTACAGGATCCCATCCATATTTAGTATCCAAAACAGATGCACAAAAGGAGGACATTGATGTTCATCATGCAATAGCATATGTAGTATTTTCTAAGTTTCAAATGCATAACTTTGCAATCTAAATAGTATTTTATTATGATTTTCAAGCAACACATGCACCATTAGAAAGAAGGCATGTTTTATATTAAAAATTTACTTCATATTCATATTTAAATATTCATGTATATATTCACATATTTCATATATTTAAAAAGTTTACTTCAATATTAAACAAATAACAGGCTCAGCTTTTTGAGGGACACGGAGTGGCTCCACTCCTTAGTGATGTGAAACCTGGACTCTGACATCAGATGGATGACTTTGCTTGCCTTAATTCAGACTAGGGCTATAGTAACTGGTAAAATCGCCTAGCAGGAAATAGCAGAAAAAATTTTAAAATCACATATTCATTTTAGCTATATTACTCAAACAGGAAACCCACTGAAACATTATTCACTTTGTTTTAAGTCACATCTTGTGCTTTAATAAACTAAAACCAGATGTGCACAAAACACGTGCCATTATTTTATCTCTAGAGCTATTTTTTGTCTCAGCTAGGAGGCTGTTGTATTAATTTTAAGCATAAGAAGTCAGGTGCATTCTGTGCACATTTTCTAGCATAATAATATTTCTCAAATACAACAGTAATTTATTTTTTTTTGCTCAGTATAATTCTTCAGGATAGCTCTTGTAGCATTAATCCTCATGATGGTGGAAGAGATAGTAGCTAGTCTTTCACAACGGTTCATGCATCTTCAGCTTCTCAGCCTCCTGGTCTTCATGGAGGTCTATTTGAATTCTTATGTTGTATTTTTGTACTACTTGCTTAGAATTGCCATCAGATTCAGAAAGTGTGCTTTGCTGTGGTGTTACAGGGGCTGCTGCATCTTGTGCAGGATCTTGATCTTGCTTGTTTGATTTTTGTGACAATGTTTCAGCTGGATTTAATTCCTCTGAATCCTCTGTGTGCCAAGGCTGCGTTTCAACTGTTTTGTCTTATGCATAGCACCACTCATGTTTTCCTCCACTGAGATTCCACATAGCACTTTATTTTCCGTGAGGTCTTTGTTGGTGACTGGTAAAGGCTGTGTTTCAAAAGTCCAGGGTGCTATTCTAACATGCCTCTTTTGAGTGTCTTCTCTATGGACAGCTTCATTCTCCAGATTTTGACCAAAGTTGTCTCTGGTAACAGACAATGGTTGAGGTACAAAATGCTTTATGCGTCTCTCATGCTTCCTTTAAACTCTCTCAGCTCAGCCCTCAGATGCAAGAAGTTAATAGCATCCACTAGGTAGAGCTGCCCAAGTTTATTCAGGTTCTGCACTATCAGCACGTGCCTCGGAGTGTTTTCAGCACCACTAGAAACTTTTCAGATGCAAGTTTCATCTGTTGTTTGTTCTCCATTGTGGTAGATTTTATCTGTAGAGTCCAGTGGGTGCATTTCAAACATCCACACGACTGTGACCTCCTCTCACTAGTGCAGGAGCCTTGTCCATAGTTCCTGCAGAGCCTGCAGTACGTGCACACAGTGCATCAAGAGGCTGGAACTGAAACATCCAGGCTTTGTATTTAACATTCACACCTGCAATGATTTCCTGGTCTGCAACGCTTCTAGCTTTGTCTGGGTCTGGAGGGTCATCTTCAATTGGAACTAAAGGCCGGTTCTCAATGACCCGTCTAATGGAGATGACCTCTCCTCTCCAGATTTCATGCCTCTCTAAGCATTGTTTTTTTGATCTTGTGAACATCTGAATGATGAAGGCAAAGCCATTAGCCTGCCATGCATCTGACATAGTATTCTGTGTTTCAGATTCACCAGGTGAAATATTAGAACTCTTATTCAGGTAATGTTTCTCTAAGTGTTTTCTTAATTGTGAGCGAAAACTTTTGTATAAATGTCTTAGTTCACATAAATGGCTTTGCCCTGGGTACAGATCTGTGGAGACAGCGGGCTTTGTTGGACAATTCAGTGGCCTGGGAAGTTGCTGTCATTTCCGATGGAGCTTTTGCATAAGTAGTAGAAAACTTCACTGTGCTTCCATATTCATGGGAACTGGAGCAAATCATTGCAGAAGTAGCAGTCCCGTCCTGTCTTTTCCTTGGTGTAGAAGTTTCCTGTAGTCTGCTTGCTGAAGTAGTAGCAGTAGAAATGAAACTAACTGTTGGAGGCAATGTAATTTCCTGGTAGATATTTTCCATCTTTAAGGAACAAAAGTGATTGTTTTTTTTTTAAAGTGTAGTAACATTGAAAACAATTTTTCTATTCTTCACGGAAGCTATTTCTGCAAGGATCCAAGCAGTAGGATTATAATAACATCTGGAAAGACACAATCCATCAGCTATTGCTCAGAATGCATAAAACCAGTATTTTGAACTAAGCTGTGATACTTGCACCGTAGTATATATGTGAAAAGAAATGTGGAATCCATACAAAATGCAAAATGATGATTGAGCAGTCTTGGAGTTTTTACTGCAACAAATGCAGACTTTGAATTATAAGTATAATGTAAAGTATGCTGTGGCTTATGCTCATTTAATTTCTTCTGAAAGTGACATTTTCTATGCTTCTGAGAATCTGTGGTGACAGAAATCATACATATTTACAGATTCAAAACCAGGAAAGAGGAGACTGTATTCAGTACAGAAGGACAGGAATGCAATAGTTTTTATAAATATCTGTTATTAATTGTGTTTGTCATATACTGTAAGTATTTGTTGAGCCTCCTAAAACATTTCATATTATGTCATGTGCACTTAATTCCTAAAGTCCATATATTCCCACCACTTCCATAGATTACATTTTTTAGTCACAGTTAGTCAAAACAAATTCAGACTGCATGACAGACCGATGTTTTAACCACTTCTAAACTGCATAAAGAAAGAACTCTCTTATTAAAAACACAGACCTTTACTTCTGTTGCAGGCGCTGCAGTCTCTCTGTCAGAGTGAACAGCCTTTTCCTGAGCTGTCCTTTCAATTTGCTCTTTCAAAATTTGTGTTACAGTCTTTGGGAGCTCTTCATTCTGAACTGCATTGCTTACTGTGATGAGAAAAAGAGTAAAAACGATTGTTTTTCCTCCACCCTGCATTTTACAAGATCGACTTTATGAGTGAATTATAAAACATTATTACATTAGAAAAATTGTACTTAGCCTTGCAGAAGTCTAGAGAGTCACTTGTTCATGAAATCCATAGAGAGAATGACAGAATAGTTGTTGAGGGACATGTTTTCTACTGTTTTGCCATACCTGAGTGGTGTGGCAGGACTAAAGGGTGACTGGGGTCTGTGGAGAATATAATGCATGAATTCTGATACCAGCACTAAACTGCAGCAGCAGCAGTGTTTTAACACTGTGGTAATATTCTGCAGGGCTATTCAGTTCAGCTGTAAATTGAACCTTTCTCATTCACAATTTTGTATACACATAGGCTAGTGTTTGGCTGTGTTTTCAGACAATTCTTCAAGTCTTTTAGGCAACTGAGTGTATACTTTAAACTACCTCCTTATGCAAAAGCCATCTCTCCATACCGAATTCTAAACTAATTTGTTAAGTCTCATTGAAGTCAATGAATGTACTTTGCTGAGAATTGAGAGCAATGTACATTTTCATCCTTGCATGCCAACAGTGGTACATTTGTGTGAGTAAAGACATTTAGGATTTCTAATTTAATCTCATGCCATTTCTTACCTGCTTCATCAGTGTGCTGAATGAATGTAGAAGCCATTTTTATCTCATGAGTAACTTGCCCGTGATGAGAAACCTGTGCACAAAACCTTCGCTTTACTATGGGATTTAGTGCAATATGTGAGAATTTTTCATACTTCTGCTACTGTATTCAAAATGTCACATCAAAAAAATAGTAATAGAAACCTAATTAAATACTATGTTAAATCAACAATAAATTACAAACACTTAATAAAACACCTTTAAATAATTATTACGTACTGCCTAAGGGAGGCCTTCAGCAGAGCATGCAGATCTTGCTGTACCAAGTGGTAAAGGAGGACCAAGCAATCAGATATGTATCAGCACCAGTATAACTGTCCAATGACATGCTTGTTAACTGATGTAGTTACCTCTTGTGTTTGAGAGGCATCTGTTTGAACTTCTTTGGAGATCATTTCATTGCACTCAGCTTTCCTGGTGCTGCGTGATACTGTCTGCTGACCGGTACTTGATTTTTCCTAAAGACAAATAAAAATAATTGCACATTAACGGCTAATAGTAAATTGGATTTTTTTTCCCTATGAAAGGCTTTCACATATAAATTCTAATGTAAGTGGTGTAACTAGAGCAGTCCTTTTACAGCAGACTACTGTTGTTATGATTGATATTTGTTGCTGTGAAAATTGGAACAGGCTTTTTTATAACACAGAAGATGTTGAGTAATCTCTGTTACTGCAGCCAAATTTTGACCTGCAGGTACAGAAAGCTGCATGAATATTTACAATGTATTATTAGACTGGAAGGGGAGGAAGGTGACTAGGAAGACTGTTTCTGGCTTCATGTGCTGTGCCATCAACTTGAATCAGCATGCATGAGGCTAATGCAACTTTGTGAAAAGGAAGTTTATTAATAAGCCTATGTAAGAGATCCTGACTTCCTGCATATGCTCTATACAGGTCTTCTGATGCAAAAAGCATGCTGAATTGCAGCTGTGAAAAACATGATCCATAGGCTAACTGGAAGATTCTGTAACATATATGGGCTGGCTTTGTATCTGCAAATCTGTCAACTACAGTGTAATAAACAAAGCGCGTCAGTGCAAGTTTAAAGCACTGTCTGAGATGTCTGCATAGTCTGTTTAGTTCGACTCCAGATTCTGGCAGTGATTTGGGTTTTTATTTAAACATGTCACAGAACCTGTGTTACATCACGTTACCTGTGTCCGTGGAGTACTTTGAAATTTAGTAATTAGAAGATTCTAAGGATTGATATTATTAAGATATGAGTTCTGTGCTTCCTCTCTCTTGCACACTAACATGCACACAGAGACATCTAACAAATAATTTCATTTATGCCAAATTAAATTTTTTTCTTCCTTTGTAAGAAGGAATCTTACCTATTAGTTTCTACTGATAATAAGCTTTCAAATGAAAGGAGCTTCTGGTCCCTCCAGCAAGAGCTTCCCAAGTGTTCAATGTGATGTGAATTGAGGCAGCACTGTGTTTCTGAGATGGCTACTACATATCTAGTGCTACAGAGAGCTGTAAGCTTCCTGCATCTCATATCCTGGCACCTCCTTGAAATCCAGCCAATTGTGGGGCAAGACATTAGCTCTCTCCCTTAGTCATTCCATGTCAAAGTGTGTATTTATGGGATTTATTTCACCTTCAAACTAAGGAGTGTGTACAGTGCATCTCTACTAACATTTCTCCTGAGTCAAGATAGGGGAGCATCCACTGCCTGGCCCACAACTTCTGCCATACAGTAGGCAGCAAAGGCTTGTAGGTTTCCTGGCAGAGAAACAACGTGCAGCCCCATCGTGGGCTTTAGGAATTCTCTTCCAGCTTTGTGCTGCCAAACCTTCTGTTTCAACTACAAGATGAATTAAAATCATACGAACAAAAGGTAGAATGAATTTTCTCATTACTACCACTAAGTTTGAACTGTCAAAGTGAGGTGAGGCTTGAGGAGAGCAAGTCAGAGCATGGTTTACTTATGAGTTCTGTATGTGTAAGAGTTGTGAGGGAGCTGCGCAACATGAGGAGATGTAGTGCTAACCCCATACCAAGTTGAAAAGAGGCAGTTCAAAGAAAATGAAGTGCAAATTTTTCCATCTATTCTGTTTAATGACTATGTGTAGGTGTATGTATAATATGCCTTTCATTTTATATGGGTATGCTTTTCAATATTATTATGCATGTATATTTTTTTCATTTAAGATATGCTTTTCTGTTCTAATGTGCATGTTTTAGATATGTAAGGCGAGCTCTCATTACTGGAAAAACTCATTCATGAGACACAAAATATGTTCATGATAGTCATTATGTGTCCTTTGAATGGTGTGGAGTATTAAAAAGGAATATAATTAGGCTTAATGTAGTCAGGAAGCAAATCTAATCTGAATGTCACTACTGCTTTATTGCTGTAGCTTAGATACTGCTTATGAAGAAGTTGCCATATTGCAGAAGATTATAATCGTTTAATGCGACAGCTATAGCTGTCTAAAATGCAGCCTAAACATTATGGGCCAGATTTTGACAATATAATTACATGGCCTTGCTCTGGGCATGCAGGGAGGAAGAGGGACTTGGAGGTTCTCATGTTTTTTGTGTCTGTCAGCACAGCTAATTGAAGTTCCAGTGGCAGAGGGTAAAATCCTGCTGGTTTGTTATTCCAAACAAGAGGAGAGCAGGAAGACCTGTGATTTCATCGCTTCTGTCTAATGTCCAGCTGTTGGATATAGGATAGGTTATCCTGTTGGTAGGCTTAATTTGGTGTACCTATTCAGAGTGTGTGGCATGCTTTGTAGACTCCATAGATTTTGGAGAGTATTCTGTAGAATTACTTGATGGTCTGCATGGGATGAAGTTGCACCTCCAATGCAGGACTGTGGCTGAAGACCATGATCTAGATTTAATATTAGTTAAGAGTTATGCTTGTGGGAACTTGATCCCTTTATTTGTTTCTGTGGAATGTGCAATTCCTGCCATATTGCGTTATTAAATCAAGCAAGGTTATTTAGTCAACCAGAACCCTCATCACAGTGTCAGGAGGAACAGCTCCCATCAAGCTGTGCAGGGGAGAAGGACAGACAGAGAACTCAAAGTCATTTTTGGTGGCAGAAGTGAAAAGACAACTGTTACGGTTGCTTTTCGTGTGGCTCAAGAATTACTCTTCAATTACTTCTTGTTTATTCTATGCCTTATCATGACAGCTTCAGAAAACACTGTCAGCTGGATGATTGTTGGCATGCTGCTAGCTCACAAATGGTTTCTTATTGTTATTTTATTATTTATTTCAGACTTTCATTGCCCTCCATTCTCTTTCGTTTGTTTCAAGTCACCCCCTCATGGGAGCTGCTGGCCTTCCCATGCATACCTGTGTGGTACTTAATACAGAGGGCTATAGGGTCCTGTTGTGTCTCTGGATAATAAGTCATTCTAACCTAAAACAATATTATTTAAAAAATAAAGATGTAAATCTGAGATTAAGTCTGTATATTTTGCTAAAGGAGTGCATTTTTATGTAGGCATTCAGATTCTGTTACTGAAGAGAACTGTAATTGCTACATGCATTTTATCTGTTAGTGGCCCATACATCAATTTTAGTGCCTCTCTGCTGCAATAATTTAGATAGAATTCTTATTGCAAAATGTGCCAAGAGTTGAATTTTCAGTAACTGTTCTGTGTATTTCAGATCAAGGTTTGCTTTCTTCTGTTGTCATTTTTGCAGTGTTCTGACAACAGACAAAGCTTAATTTCCCTTTCAAAAATAAAATTGCTTTGAGGTTCAGAACAGTAATGCTATGTTATATGCATATGTACATAAAACTTGTGTACAATTCTGTATTCGTATGTATGTATTATTCAAGGGGATCAAATGGCCCAGAAGCACAAGAAAGCCTTTACTCACTCACATTTGAAGCATATTGCTTTTAGTTGAAATGTATGTTGTGGTCATCATAGAAGCTCTGTGGGAAGTTGGCTAATATAATACAATTTATATATTGGCATATTTAGAACTTACTTTTCTAAATCATTAGTATGTACAAATGTGAAGTTCCCTTTAGGGAGCAGTGGAAATAAATCGTGAGCCTAAAGCTTCAGCTCCGAAATTAGTAACAATAGAATGACTGATGATGTACATGGTGTGAATCTTCATTTCTTCCTCAAAGCTATGCTTTTTTACCTATCTGTGTTCTTACCATGGTACCATCTGTGCTGTGACAGTACATCAGTACTGTGAGAGCCTTGCAGAGATTTCTCATAAGAACTTCACTTATCTGCACTGTACCTCTACAGTTTGTCAGCCTTGCTTAGTTGTATGTATATACTTAGGGTGTTTTGGGCACTATATGGAAGATTTTCATAGGAAGGTAAGGTTTTCACCATTCACTAACAGTGTCTCATTATTCAACCTTATTCTCTGCAATTGCTAGAAAATTGGCAATAGCTGCACTAGCAATCTTGGAAAATTTGTCTGGAATGACCCTCAGTGAAGGAGGTGTAGCTGTACCCGTGTCATTCCTGACACACAATTCCATATGGTTGAGTGAATATCAGATACTTCAAGTATATTCCAATCATCCTTCCTATGCAGGAGGTCCAGCTCACTTGCCAGAAATGGCCTGTGATTGACACTGGATAGTGAGGCTTTGTCTGAGCAGCGAGTTGGCTGAGCTGGTGTAGCAAACCACTCCAGCCGGCATTTGCAGAGCAATAACACTGACGCTCGTGACCTTTTCTAAGCTTGGTGGCTGACGATAAAAAGTGCTCATGATGTCAGTGGTCAAACTAAAGATAAAAAACCCCTCTGAGTTTATGAACACATGGCAATTCTGTGGTCAGCTTTCATTGCTGCTCACCATCTGAACAAGAGTTTAGTGCGTCCTACTCATAATACGGCACCTTTCACAAGGAACCTGTCTCCTTTACAGTGAAGAGAGCTATATGTGATGGCTACTGCCTGAGAAAAACAGTTCAGTAAGGAGTTATTATTTGCTTATTCAATGTCAATATTTTGAATGAAAAGCTATGCAAGAATTTAATATTTAGTAAAATGTTTGTCTATTTAGATTACTGTTTAAAAAAATAATTGCTTTCTTATTTTAGCTTGGACTAATAATTTGAATTTATCCAGATCTGGAAATCTGTCTTCAAACTACGTGATTTCTCTGTTTTGCCCCAGGATTGATTCAGTGACCTTGAATAATCTTTCAACTACCAAAGTGTATAATCCCATTTTCCATGAGATTGCAGTTACGTTAGATAGAAATGGGATTTTATGGTCTTGAAGTAAGTTGTTTAACCTAAATGTAAAGATTTTTCTATATAGTCTGAGGGATTTTATTTTGTGTGAATGTGACTATTCAGAGAGCCTGCTCAACTAGTCACAGAGGACAGATACGTGGATAACTATGCTTAGAGGCCATATCTTTGTTGAAGAAGTGGAACCATCGTTGTGGCATTGTGGAGAGCTAGAGGTCACTACTAGGCCAGGGAAAATGGATCTTTACATCACAGAAATGAAATTATTTGGTTCTGACTAAAAGAGAAAGTCACATAATTTCTGCACACAGATCTGCATTTCTTCATCCAGATAAATGGCAGCTAGGTTGGACCATGTCATCAGAAAAGTTTGTGCATAATACTTCCTATTACCAAGGTTTATGCTCTGATATGATTATATCCAACTATAAGATTTTTCTGCTGAATTAAAATGCTTTAATTACATCTGTAACAAATTGTGTCTTCTCCCCTACAAACTAGTGTTTTGCTTGTTGTCTGATGGTATTAATGTGTAAGAAATGAGAGATGACTGGTAAATATGATGATACTTAACATGAAAATGAATCTATGGCAGAATGTCGACGTGTCCTGTTCTACAAAGCTGGGGAGCAGTATTGCTTAAAAAAAATCTCTACTGAAGAACAGGATGGTAAAGCAATTTACTGTGCCATTACTGTTTTTCAGAGTGCACAGGACAGATTGTGCAATGTGTTTTATTATAGGGAATTTCACATAGTCCAAAATCCTATCTCCTACAACAAATTTTCATGGTATATGCTAATGAAGTAATAAAATGTAAAGACCTTTTATCTAAAATAACACTTAGCTGCTGCTTTGTTCTACTTTTATGTAGCATCTAGGTTCTGTGCAATTTTTGATCTGTTTAGGGGGGTTGATTAGATTTAATTCAATGAAGGCAGGAAACTCCTTTTGAAAGAAAATGGCTTAAGATCACATCAAGTGCAATATATGCAAAATATCGTCACGATACTTGATAATGAATTACAGTCTTATAGAGAAGGTTCAGTGTAAAATACTGCTATGGTAGTAATCGGCTTTAGTCATCTATTTGCTGTAAGACTTGTATTGCCTCTATTGAGTATTCATTTGCATAAAAATATATATGATTCCTGTAGTATATCTCAAAGAGAAAATTCCATGAGTATGAACATTAGGGAAACATCTTGATCATAATGAAAACTCCTCAGTAAAGCAAACAATCATATTTTTTCCTCAAGCTATCTAGCAGGGCATACCTCATTTGTTAGTATTAAAAGTGCTATTGTTACCTGTACAGATTTGTGCTGGTGCTGGTACTGAGCAAAGCTCTTTCGTAAAGAGGTCATCTTCACTTTCTCAAATTGTTTCCTCACAGCTGCCAGGCCACCAGGCACAGAACAGAACTTGGTTTTCTCTGAAGTCTAGAGTGATAAAGTAAGGCCAGTTGTTTACCATTTGCACTAAGAATGGAGTTCCACGAGATGATTTCTTAAAATTAGTTAATAACAGTATGCTGTAAGACTGCAGATTTCAAATGGAAAATTTGGAAACACCTGACTATTTCTGTAGCCTCTTATAGGCAACTTCCACTGACGTAATCTGTAAACCCTACTTATTTTAACAGTACACATGAATCAACGTTAGCATTCAGAATAGACAAAATAAGATAATAATAAGTCATTTTTCAGGTGCTGTCATCAAAATAAAAAATATATATGTGTTGTTAACATTAATTGTTGAATATCATTGGCCCATTTTAGGACTTTTACTTGTCAACCATAAATTAGGACCTGCACATTTTGAAGTTCTTTTGGAATTTTGCAATCTAGAATTTATTTAACACCAGTCACTAAATGTTCCTGTGTGAAATAGATTCTGCTGGTGTAGCTGCATATTCATCTTGTCTAAACTAGCTTCTGGGGACACAGTGGTTTCCTCTGTAATTTTAGGGATTCTTGCAGATGGGCAGTGATGCTGGCTGGTAAGACCTACGTTGTTGTCCTTCTTTTGCCAGATATACTCTCTGATTTCCAGAAATTACTCTGACGTAGTTTACAGTAAGAGAAAGGTGTTCTTCCCATGTGCTGAAAGTTTAGCATAAACAAACACTATTGACATTCTAACATTTTAGCAAGCCAGCTTAATGCCTCAGCATATTTCCTGATAGGAGGAGATTGAGCTACAACGTCTAGCTAGAATTTTAAGATATGGCAAAAATACACAATTTACCCCTCAGTATTTCTGCAGAACTGAGGTAAATTTTCCTAGCTGAGATCTGAAGTCCTGATATTCAGATATTCCTACCTGGTAATTAAGTGTGCGCTGAAGTGGTCGTACTCTAGATTATAAATTCTGTTTGCCCTGGTGAGACCACATTTGGAATATTGTTTCCAGTTCTGGGCCCCTCAGTTCAAGAAGGACAGGGAATTGCTTGAAAGAGTCCAGTGCAGAGCCACAAAGATGCTGGAGGGAGTGGAGCATCTCCCTTATGAGGAGCGGCTGAGGGAGCTGGGGCTCTTTAGCTTGGAGCAGAGGAGACTGAAGGGAGACCTCTTGAATGTTTATAAATTTGTAAAGGGCAAGTGTCAGGAGGAAGGAGCCAGGCTCTGCTCTGTGATGTCCAGTGACAGGACAAGGGGCAATGAGTGCAAGCTGGAGCACAGGAGGTTCAACCTGAACATGAGGACAAACTTTGTCAGTGTGAGGGTGCCAGTGCATGGCCCAGGCTGCCCGGAGAGGTTGTGGAGTCTTCTCTGCAGACATTCAAAACCCGCCTGGCCGTGTTCCTGTGTGACCTGGTCTGGGTGATCCTGCTCTGGCAGGGGTTGGACTGGATGAGCTTTCGAGGTCCCTTCCAATTCCTAATATTCTGTGATTCTGTTATTCTGTGATACTTGATGTGCTGCAAGGTATTAGTATTAAAAATTGCTGTAAGATACCTAATACCTACTGATAGACATGTAAAGAGAGGAATAAAATAACATAAAAGTTTTTTTTCTAAATATTTTTTCATATAATGCCCATTTTGAAATAATTTTATTTTAAACCAATACCTTTTCATGCATCTTGTCTCATAGAGCTGCTATTTAAAATGCAGCAATTTCAAAATCTTTAGTTTGAGCAGCAAGAGGTCTAAACTTAATGTGCTTTTGAAAATGATTTTGTTATTTGGTAATAATTTTAGTAATGCAGAAACTGCTGGGTTTTGTCATTATGAGCTGAAAGAATAACTGTGTTGCTAATTTATCTCAAGTCTATGGTCCGCAGAAATGCAGTTTGTGCAACAGTGGAATAAAAAGAACAGTCCTCCTAATGAATTGAAGGAAATTGTCCAAGTGACCAAAAGTATATATCACGAAAAATCTCATTCAGTAGAAACAGAGACTGATGCATCAATATGTTTGCTAAGTAGATTTTGTAATTCAGGTTTAAAATTTGAATCCTTATAGTGATTCATCAGTCAGTTTGTATAAATAAAGAACATAGGACATGTCGCTATGCAAAGCAAACACAGAGCTAAGAAGACAAGGAACCACTGATATCTTACATGAGCAAAGGAGTTGTTACTCCCGATCTCAGACACAGCAGCCTTGTACATAGCCATTCTTTCCTTCAAGGAGACAGTCTCCTGGAAATCCAGTGGTGTGTTATCATCCCTTGGAGCATTCTCTTTGGATAGTCCTCTTACAGGTTTGCGAGAACCCACTGTAAGTACAAAGAGATATCATATTTTCTAAGAAGGAAACAGGTACCTTTTTTCCAAATCTTGAAAGAAAAGTGGTAGTAGAAAGAAGCAGTATTATCAACTTTTCAGCAGCTGTACTTTATTTTCAATGTAGAACCCACTGAGTACAGAAAAATTTAATTCAATGAAGTTTTTGAAACTGAGAGAAATTCCTTGGAGAAATAACAGAAAGCTTTCTTTTAAAAAAAACCCGTAAAAATTTAACAGCAAACATGGTGTTTTTCTTGATAGTGCTACATTTGCATTATTTTATACTGTAAAGAGTAATTATAAATACTACAAATAACCAATTGTAATTAGATAAGTTATTAGCTTTATACATCGCAGTATTCAGTTGCTTAACAGAGTCCGTTCCGAGATGATCATAGATTCCAGTTGTTTGCTGATACTGCGTTAGAGTATATTTTAGTCACTTTAGTAAAACCTTATTGATAATTATCTAAATTACTAACTACATTTTAACCTTACTTCAGTGTGCAAAGGTTATAGACTTATCTATAAGCATTCGTGATTCAGCCACTGTGAATGTGGAGACAACAGTTCAGAGTATTCCTGAAAGATTAGCACTGAGTTACTAGCATGGGGAAGGTTTTGTTGCTGCTTTCTACATTCACATGACTGCATTAGAATTCCATATACCCAGAAAAGTGCCTTAAATTTAACGTAAGGATATTAAAAAAAATAAATGTTGTCAGCATCTCTCTTGTCTGTGATCAGAGGCAGAAGAGGTTTCATATAAACCCACAGGCTGGCAGTTCCTCTTGTCCTGCTAAGGTTTTTCTACAGTCCACAGAAAATTGGGTTGAATGACACTGAATTTCTGTAACCAGGACGCTCCCTTTTTGGAAGAGGAGGGAATTTTAAGGCTTCAAGAAGATTTATTTTTAGTAAAGCCACCAGAATCTAATTTTTTAATCCTTGTGCTTTTGCTGCAGATATCAGAGCACCCTGATCTTCCCTAAATCTGTCTATATTTCTCCTTGTCCTTGCATAATAGGGCAGAATACATTTGTGACAACCAGCATTGCTTTTTGAAAGACAGTTGTATTTTCTGAAATTACAGAAACAGGCTGTAGCTGAACCAAATTATATCAAAAGAACTCATCAAAACCCACCATTTCCCCTCCCCCCAAGAATTATAAATCTTGGAATTTCTCAAAGTCGAGGAGATTACTGACTTAAAAAAGGAGAGAAAGGGGTGGAAGAAACATGGTAGATATGGCCTCCTGTTCTGTGTATTTAATTCAAACCAGTACCTTAAAATCCATTTTCCCCAATATATTCTGGCACTGCTGACATGATGTGTTCCTCATTCTGAGTGTGCTTTGTCACTTTGTTGCAGCACAGGGCTGGGTTGTTTTTTTTTAATATAACATACTTAAGTTACTGTGTGCAACTCATTTATGCTTCCTGTGCAACCTCATCTAGGTGTTCCTGCTGCGGCAGGGGGATTGGACTGGATGAGCTTTTGAGGTCCCTTCCAATCCCTAATGTTCTGTGATTCTGTGAATCCCTTCCTGGAGCAAGTAGAGGGACACAACTGGTTTTGGTTTATCCCCATGTGTATAATAGGGTGGAACTTGGTGACTATTATAGGGCCTGAGGTCTGGATGGCATTTGGCAGAGTCGGCTCCTTGTTCTGTAAGCCTAATTGTAATACATATTGTTATACATAAATGCATTACGAAAACATGTGCTCAATCAATCACATTTCTTTTTACCTAAGTTGGTTCACTTTTGATTATTGTATTCTTTTATTAAGGCAGTGGTTGAGAACACAAAAGACGCAGATTTTTAAAAAAAAAATCCCCATTTTCTTTTGAAGTACTCACTCCTGCTCTCTAATATTATGAAATGCAGCAACGAGAGACTTTCCAAAAAGCTCACTGTTCACCTGGCACAGAACAGAGTGCCAGGGAGGCGGTGTCCCACCAAATAGGGAAGAATTCTAAGGCACAACTGGCCTTTCTGCCTGTTCATTGTAGAAGTGTTTAGCTGGGATAGGTGTTCAAGTTTCAGATATAGTGAGCAAATATAACAAGCAACTCTAATCTTCAGTAAAAATCAGACATGGATGCAAGCATGCATGAAAGAACAGTCTCAGTGTAAACACACTGAGTTTCTTATTATTTTTACCTGACCCTTCTCATAACTTAAATGAGAATAATTTTCCTTTTTTATTACAGGTATCCCATGCAGTAGATTTGCATATTGCATGTAATCATGATAGACAAAAGAATTGCTACAGTTCAAGAAAGAATAATAGCAGCAGTAAGAATCAGTGAAAGTCAGCTGGAAGGAAAAAAAATAAAGGTTTACAGAGAAAGAAGAAATCAGAAGAGAGAAAAAAATTTGCTGTTCTTCAAGTAAGAAATCTGTACATTAAACCAGATCTAATCAAAACAATGGAAAGGTTGAAAATATGCTTTGACAGTAAAGAGGGATAGTCCACCATAGCCAAATGGTGTGTGTTCATTTTTAAAGGCAGATTAAATCATGTAACAGATTAGTACCAGCATGATATTTATAAGCCATTACTTTAATTATCAAGAATGTTTAGGAGTTTAAAAACTTTTTTTGTATTGTTCTGATTCAACCAGGGATTCTTGGATTCTACCTAATTGTAAGCATGTGAATAGTTTCATTAAGCGCAATGGGAATACTCGTGTGCTTAAAGTTAGACATTATTAAATTCCTTGCTGATGTGGGGCCAATGAATTTAATGGACTGTTTTACAAAACATTTTAATAGATACATATTATTAGCCACCTGAGGAGTGAAGGTAATAGAACCTATTCTCTTGTTAGCTTTAAAACAGGAAATTCCCTCTCTTTAGAAGCTAGTTGGTTCATAACATAAAGTAAAGCTCTTTGTGGTGGTATGAAAGATGATAGGATCAAAGCTTTTGCTAATTCATTTTGCTCTAAGCTTTTGCTCATTCCAGAGAACTTAAAGTTTTAATATCTTCTGATTCTTTCAGGGGCTTGTGATGAAATAGTGTGTAAGAAGAGCTTTATGTTTACCAAAGTGAGGTATGCCAACAAATTCTACTTGTCTTTGTCATACAATAGCATCTATTTCAGAGAATTTAATTGTTTCATGAATGATATGTTACATCAATTCTGTAAAGTAAATGGAACTTGACAAATCTTCCATGCATAATAGGACTGGAGAATTCTGGCTTTCTGCCTTTTTTTTCCAATGATATGACTACGTTAGCTATCCCTTAAGGGCTTCTCCAGGTTTTCACAATAGGTTGATCAGCAGTATGAGCATTGCCTTCATTGATTTTTCAGTGGAGACAATAGAAGTTGTTAGTACGCATTTATAGAGTTTGCTGTAAATGTTGCTTGATACCTCTTCTAGGAAAACTAGATTTTGGCATAATTGAAACATTTAGCAAAAAGTTCCATAACACTTTAGTGGTTTGAGTGTATTACCCTTGCTGAAAAATTGAAGCAAGTTGACATATACTGTCATTGGTTATAGAAAACTCAAAACTTAGTGATGAGAGAAATAATCTGTGGATCAGCATTATCTTATCTTTTTCAGGACCTGAATATTTATTCAAGTGCAGAGTTGCAGATTTGATTGCCTAACTTCAGCTATTAGAACTGTAAGAGTTTTCAACAGTGCTTTCAAACACTCAAATGAGTCCTTAGGGAATTTACTTCTCATAAGACCGTCTGAATGCAAAATGAGGCATTATGGCTCTCACAGGAGCATAGAAAAACATTATCCCCCGTGGGTCTGTCACATTTTTAGAAAAAACTTCATTTGTAAGAAGCATGAATTGTTGACTGTGCATTTTTACATAGTTTACATTCTTTGTTATTCC